CTTAGTCACAAGAGCCAAATACCCATTTTCGAATTAGCCTGAGCAGATTCGTTAGATCTTTTATACAGGGTCCTTTGTTATACCAAGGATTATGGTTTAAAAGTGAAATGATAAAAATGTAAGTATTTAAAAAATGTATTCAAATGTTTGGTATTTATTGTCAATCACTACTAGTCTTAGAATTAAGGAAAGAATATTACGAATTAGTCAATAAGTCATAAATTTGGATTTTATTTGTGAAGGTATTGATTCGTAGTTTGCATTACCAATCTTACGTTGAATCATTTTCTCTCTGAAGATTACTTGTATCGGGCAATAGCCTTGTAGCAAACACATATTTGTTCATAGATTTCATTTATCATAGACAGATCCCATAGACGGATTATATACCTGATCACTTCTTACAGGAAGTTATCCATGGCCAGTTGACCGTAAGTCATGAGAACTCAAACTTTGAAGTGATGAAGAAAGTATGCAGCTCACAAGATGTTTTTAGTTAGATACAGTTCTCTGAGCTGAATGGTTTAATTCCAACGCTTGACTAGAATTATGGCATTCGAGTCAATCTGTAACCAATAGGGACATCTATGTCGTTTTGATTCATTAATCTATTTGGAGAAGGTTAACCAGTTACATAGCCAGAGGTCGTAGAAAACTCAACATGGCTGAAAACTTCATTCTGATAAGTATCAGACTCAAATATAAATATATCAATAACATGAGATGACATTTAACAAAAAAGAAACTGCACATTAAAAAAATTTATTTAGTCACCTTATATTCAATAAGAAGTGAAATTTTTATATCCCGATTAATGAGATTAATGAATGATAACTGTTGGAATCTACTTCTAGACCAATATGATATATATTTTTTTTGTATAATTGTCAAGTAGCTGAATTATGTATTTTCATGGTCTTCTTGTTAAAAGCTTTATTTTGACTCATAGATGCGATTTACCGTTCTTGAGTTCTGCCCAGTCTATTAATTACAGTCTCCCACATTTACAGCCATTTTTAGCTAGATCTTGTATAAATGTTATTTTCTATTTTATGATACGATATAATCTGTTTGCTTTGTATATCAGCCCAGTATGTTTAAAATACATAATTCATATCGCAGAGACTCAGATTGCTGTTCTGGACTAGAAGAAGAACCAATAAAAACTCTAAACTGCTCGTATAGGTTTATGCGTCACTGGTCCAGCCGATCATTCACTGTTTTTTAATTGACGGTATCATTACGTTATACATTAACAGGGCACACAGGGCCACAAGTTATAACAAAAATAACCTCTCTAATTTATTCAAAATAATAAAACATAAATCTTTTTGCTGAATTTTCATAAATTTAATCAAACAGATTAACCGTTAAATTTAAAAAAACTTTAATATATCGATTAAATCTGAAAAAAAAATCTCTTCATATTGCCCCTAAATGGTAATGAAATGTATCCATAAAAATGAATGACGAGAAAAAAGAGACAAAAAAACAATAATCTACCAGATAGAAACTAAATCTCGTAACCATCATTTTTTAAAAAATTTTTTACATAACTCCACTGATATTCCTTTGATTATTTTGTTTATAAGTTTCATAAATAAAATTTCACAATAATTGATTTAATAAATAAAAAATTTTTTAAATGTTGACAATGATTGTTATTTTATGAAGTTTCACGTCATTAACAACTTCTAATGTTAAAATTATTGTCTTAGTAACAAAAGCCACATCCCCCTTTTCGGATTAGCCCGAGATTTGTTAGATCATTTACACAGGGTACTTTGTCATATATATATAGAACAATCGCTAGCATCCGTCTTACTGATGATACAATTTTAAAAACTCAATCTTAAACATACCATATATACTAAGGCAGAAAAAACAAAGTTAAACAAGCTTAAAAATTCAGTAGTTCAAGTGTCAGTTTAAAGCTTATAGAAATAAATCAGCATACTTCACTATAACTTAACCGTATCAAGACAAATAACTTCCAAAATTAGAGAGGAAAAATTGAGAGTAACATCACAACTGTAGTTTAAATTTATTGATCACATCCACCTCCATATTGCTGAATATTTTTTAGCGCCTTAAGTATTTGCATCCCTCAACGAATCAGTGGGAAATGTACTTCTTTATTCGGTTAGGTCGCATGTTTTATTTACTTTTTGAAGCAGCAAAATTACACAGATTAGTGTACAAAAACACAGTCACATTTTGATTGACCGATTTGAATATAGAACCACAGCTGATTTATGGTCTGAACCCACATACATATGTACTAAAAGAATTTTGGTTTATATGGCCACTACCTTGTTGGTTTAAAACTACATTACGATGCTTTTCAATATTTTTTCAATTGTACCATACCCTCAAAAACATTCTTGTCCGTCCTCTATCTAAACTGTTTACAATAAAACAATTGTATTTGAGTTGAATTGCTACACCTATTCTCTAGTTATTATGTATACCACTATTGCACAAAGACATTTGAATCCTGGCCATCTTAGTTATCCACATCTCTCGATTTAAAATGCTTCCCATTGTTTAAACTAGTGCGGAATACAAAATTCAGTTCAAAATAACGTAACCATAAAGGAAGCTTTATCGAAAGCAGCCATATCTAATTTACAATATCATACAAGGACTTTATTTCCTCAGAAGAACGTTTTCTCAAAAAGACTATCCAGGGTGCTTCGTAGATCAGATTATAAGATGAATTTCATATGAAGACTCCGAAAATCCTGTCTCTAGTGGCTTGAATAGGTTCAAAGAAACTCTGGGAGCTATCAAACTTATGGACTTTTATTGATTTCCTGAAGTGAACTCACAACTAACCTTCAGTGTAACCCCGTTGATGTACTGATGCAGTAAAAAGTTCAACCACTTTCTTAATATCGGTTCTTTGATGACAATAAAGATGTCAACCTCTAAAAACTACACCATTAATCTAAGTCAGGTGATGACTATCATTTCAATATATATTCCAAAAGAATTTCCTCTACATTTACGTATCACTCAACTATTGTCACAACATTCATTCTGTACACGACGTTCCATACATTAAGGACAATACAAAACCAGATTATTTAAACGGATACACTAAGGACTAGTAAGTGTTTATGTAGTAGGTTATTTGCATCTTTCATTTCGGATTTTTATAATTTGTTTCGGTGTGACGAAGTTGCTAGGGAGACCTAAATGAGTCATACAGTTCACTGGAACTAAGGATCTTCAGGTCATTAATACATTCGATCCATTTCAAGATTCTCTAGAGACCGAAAATCGTTTTTCACAGATTCAGGTGAATATAAGCTGTAAATATTTCATGTAGAATTTTGGTTACTTGTAAGTAGCCTAAGATAAATCACTAAATTATTGTAAGTGTTCTAGCGATGCAGAATATTGCAATCTTTTTCCAAAATCAATTTTAAGCACGTAATTAATAGCAAACTTCTAATGCTGCTCACTAGAACCAGTTGAGTAGATCCAAATACCTTGATATCCTCTCTTTTCCCTGCCAAATCTGCTCACTAACGATGTACCTGTACTGATCGACCTAGGTACTAATTAGCCACTTAATATTAACTATTATCATCCGTCATGCAATTAGTTCCCTTTATGAATTTAAATAAAGCCAGAACAAATATTGATACAGAATAGTATGAATTCATTTTAATTCGAGGTTTCTCGTCAGTTGCTTACAACCAAATATGTAATAGGATTTAATATTGAGATAGGAAATAGTGTGAAACAATTGACATTATTGAATGTAAATAATTGGAATGACAAATGTTATCAATAATAACTATATATATGCATACAAGAACAGGTCAGAGGTTATTTGGTGTTAGAATCAAGGAAACAATTAAGGATTGATAGTGTAATAGTTGAGTGGAGTTCAGAGACTGATAAGATAAATTGTGTGATAATTTTAGAGGTAATGAAAGAACCATGGGATTAAACAGTGATAAGATAATAATTGAATAGAGTTTGAAAAGTTCACATAATTTCAGAGGGTAAGTGAGTGGAAATGTGTGAATGAAAAGTTGGTTTAAGAATTCGGTAATGGGGGAAGAATATAACACAAATAACCAAAGAACAACAAAAATAAAATAAAAATGAATTATCAGAGTAATAAGTTTATTACCGTCTCTTTTTGAATACATAAATCCAGTTTAAGTTTTTTTGTCGCGATCGCTTCAGCAAAACGGAGAGCAGCCGTACTTCTTTGTCTACTGATAATTTTAAAAGCGTGCGGAATGTTGACGGTATGCCCGATGTCAAGCAAATGCCGAGCTATTGCACTGTTGAGAGCCCTAGTCCCTCGCAGCATCAAGTTTTCGGAAACATGCGAACATGTACTCTTCTCTGTTTTTTCAATGTATGTGCTATGGCACGTACATGTGAATTGGTAAATGCAGTTGGAGCTACTGAAAAAACAGGACTTGTCAATTTTAGTTTGTTCCTATCTCAATATTAAATCCTATTACATATTTGGTTGTAAGTAACTGACGAGAAACCTTGAAATAAAGTGAATTCATACTATTCTGCATCAATATTTGTTCTGACTTAACTTACATTATCATCTTGTCCAAGCTTAAGTTACACTGGGGCCACTAATCTAAGTGACTTGGCTTCACAGAGCACTTTTTTATGTTAGGCAGTTGGATTCAATCGGCAAGAAGACTTAAATCGACACTCTTTACTAGTTGATAATCGTTAATAAAGCGTGTCTGTTATCTTGGGGAAATTTATTTCCTGTAGGATTCTAACACGTAATGTGAAAAAGTTATCACGAGCCATTTTCGCCGTAGGCCCTATTAGATTCACAAACGTCAACGAATTCTCGCTGACAACCACTATGATTATCGTCTGTGCATTCAAAGCATGATATTTGTAGATAACATTATATTTTCAGTATTTACAGCCTAATTTTTATCGACTAATACAAGATAGTGTGTAATTATGTTAAAAAGTAAATACGGAAATATTTATTTGTATTTATATTTATACATAATGAATAATAAGTCTCTATTGAATACAGCACCATTTACATGAATTTCATGAACAAATGAAAGATTATAAAGCTGTTGTTTAACTCTTTATGCAGTATTTAAAAATAACCTGTGGTATAAATAATAACACTGAACAGGTAAATACTGATTATTTACAAATTTAGACAAATAAATCTATGACAGCTATTTTGATTGTTATTTAACAGAATCAGAAAGTTGAAAATCATCTCTTTTTATATGCGTACACTAATAATAACATGAAGATGTGTATGAAAAGAAATGCAGAATGAAAAAATAAGCGTCTAATCCTCTTTGAATTGAAATGAATGCTTCCAAAACAGAAGTATGAGAATACGATCTTCTCTATACCCACACACGTCGAGATCGTTATATGTATCGAAACCATCAATTTTAATTGTTGTCTAACAGACGACTAGTTGCAGGTCGAACTGAAATTAGAAAAAGTTATACACAAAAATGCGTACACAGTTCAATCTACAAACTAGATTAAAACAAAATTGAGTTAGTGGAGACTTCATCCACTGATTTAAAAACAAAACTATCAACACAAGTGATCCAAAAGTTCGGACTATGTATCATCGACCGATGTAGACTATATATTTGAATCCAATCCCATGTACCTCGGCTTGAACACACGGGTAGAATCACTAGCTTTTATAGACAGTTCGTCATTCAATCAGTTACAATCAACGTAGAACTTGACAACAATGTGTATTGGTTAAAGTTTCCATAACACGTTATTACGAGATCAGATTAACAAAATAAATTGCAAAGAAGATCGAAATAATGTAGTGACGATGATATGGAAGAAGACTAATTATCGGGGACACGGTTCGGAAAGATAAAGTGAAAAAGTACATATGAATGAATACTGAAACTCAAAACCCAGAGAACGCTAATGTAACTGTACCATAGTAATTGATTCTGAGCTGGGTTACGCAACATCTTCAACCATTGACTACGACTATAATCTTCATCTACTGTCATAGCTCACGTCAACAGCTAATGATTTCGTGGACTGACACCACATTTTGGTTTGGCTGCCTCTAGCTTCTCTCCAACTTACTCCTACACCAGCAAGCATTCACCATCGAGGTAGGCGATGGTTAGACATACGTAATATATGTTCAAACTACCTCAATGGATAAAACTTCATAATCTCATCAGCCAATTTGGCATCTTCATTTGGTATTCTATGCCCTACCGCAAAATTCCTCACACGGTTGTTCCATGATATGCGAGCGATGTTTTAAAGACACTTATAGTCAAAAACCTGCAGCGTATGAGTGTTTTTTAGCTCTATAGACCGTGTTTCTCAACTATAGAGTAATGTAGAGAGGACAAAAGGGAAGTATGCTTACCCCTTAAGTATACAATGTGACTCAATGCTGAGTAAGTAGACCCATTTATTTGATAAGTTGTTTACAATAACTAAAATACCAGTGCATGAATTAACTCGTTTGGAAGTTTCCCTTAAACTTGATAACCTTCAATTGTTTCATGCTTTTTTGTGAAGGCATACTATTTATTGACAATAATACTAATACTGAGCTACCCATTTACCAACTGTAAGGCTTATTTACTACAACAAGAGCAATTTCTCCATTGTAACGAACCAAGTATAGTCTTCATTTATACTTCTATTTTCGTGATTTGTCTCATTCTTCATATCACTGTTAGCTTTTATTATACACCCTACTTTCTAAAAATTTCACTGCACATAGTTTCTTGATTTTCTGAATAGTAATAACCAATTTGTTTCCGCCAATTGTTAATATTATTCTCGTTTAAAATAGCCATGGGTTAGTTTTTCATACACAGGACAATAATTCAGCTCTTATTTACTTAGTTCAAAGACGAAATCTTTTATTTATATTGTTGACGATGTAAATAACACCCGGTTACCTATTGTTTAAATGTTCTTAAACTATCTGTGGTTATTTTATTCGTTTCAATAATGTCTTGAAAATATATGCCAGTTTTAGATTTAAAGTTCTTTGTGAACAGTTCCATGATTCAGTCATAATCCTTGTAAGGATGTCACACTTATCATTAAAAAGTTATACAATGAATTTAAGTAGGATTTTTTTTACCGAGGCACAAGCTTGGCACCACATTTGTTTTAAAACTGTCTATGACTATAGCACAAACTCAGGTACACAAATATGAATGATCAATGAATTTGTTTGTCAGACATGTAGACATACCTATGGCCTAAGCAATATATAATCCGTCTCCGATGTATGCTGTAGATAAAATTTGCAGAAGAATATTATTCATATGCAAAGGTTCGAGTTTTCATATTGTTAGTATTATGCACTGCAGTTGATCGATCCTTATTGGCACATGTGAATCCTAAGCGAATTACCTCAATACTATCCTTAAGTTACAAGTTTTAGTAAGATTGGATTGCAGCTAGCGATGGGATCAACAACACGCGTTCCATTTTAATTGGGACTAGTCAGCTGAATGTATCTGAATCTTAGTGTTGATGTATATACTTAGAATTGAATCCGATACCTTTTGCTTCAAACTTCATACCTGTTGAACAAGTTGGTTGTGATGTGGACTCAGAAGTTTAGTGGGTGACTAGCTAGCGCTTGATGTTATTTGGTCCGAGTCTTAGTGTAGAAATCAACACTGGATGAAGGTGTAGACAGCTGACGAGTCTAAAACAGAACGAAAAGCTTGTTATGGATTCCACTGTTAGCCACAGTCCACTTTTACCAGAACATTTTTGAACCTGCTCAAAAACACAAATCTGTTATTTCAATAATGTAGACTAGGAAATTCTTCATAAAGTATTACAAATTTAAATTACTTAATAAATCTCTTAATCCACATTTTTACTACCATTAATTATTGAAACAATCATTTTTAAAAAATGAATGACGAAATATTACTGATGATTAAGACAATATACAAATCTTCTCCACCATCTCAAAATCAAAATAACAGTTTATAAGTACCAATACCAAGGTTGGACTTGAAAGTTTTAAATAAATTGAGCATTGGGTAGAGAGCTATATATATATATATATATATATATATATATATATATATATATATATATATATATATATATATTATATCCCAATGAGTAAAATAATTGTATTTCTGACGTTTCATGACTTAATAGTTAATCTGAAGAAATAGCTTACATTAAGTCACAAAACGTCAGAAATACCATTTTTCTACCCATTGGGATATAATAAAAAATATAGTTATTATCACAATAACAACTGTAATAAAAAAGAATTTCCAACATAATTTGTGTTTTTTACTGATTACTCACTTGATATCACTGCTTCACTTAATTGTCGCTTTATTGTTATACCTGTTTTCGTAGCTGAAATATTATTGATGCTATTATTAGTAGCAGTAGTAGTATTAGTAGTAGAATTAAATGAAGACGACGGAACAGATATATGACGTTTACAATCATTCATTGAAGATTGAGAAATAAATGCGGATAAATTTGGTTTATTGATAGACATTATGGTTGAATTATTATTATTGTTAGTAGAGTTACTTTTAAAAGATTCCGTTTTTTGATTAGATGATTCAATCATTCTAGGTGTTTGTATGAGTTGAATATTTCTAAGAGGAGTAACCTCTAAATTAGATGAAGCTGGGCTTTTAACTTCATTAATTATTATAGGTTTATTCACAAATGTTCGAATAGTTGATTTAGTTCCAATTAGTGGAGTTTGACGTAATTGCTACATTGAATTGAATTTACAGAGAGAGAAAAACAACGAAATAAACACACAAAATAAAGAGATTTAGTTTGAAACAAATATATCATTTAAATTTCAGTTTGTTTCATGGTTATTCTGATAGTTAAAACAACTGTATCAAATAAATGTGAATAACAAGTCACAATTGATTGCGTGTCTAATCCTTATTAGTGTAGATCGAATGCTATCGACCATGTTGCAATGTGGCCACCAGCCTAGGTGACTCGACACTGCGTGCACTATTGTGAATAACAACTATTTAAAATAAAATATTATTTCACAGTAACTGATTAGTTTCAATAAATTAATAAATTTGAAATTCAATGTTATTAATATTATACCAATAAGAAATAGATACTTTGACATTCTTATCTATCATATAAATCCTATATGAATTATATAACATACATGCAAATGATCGATTCATCAAACTGATAAATAGCTTAAAATAAGGCAACAATGTTTCGAACGATAAGAAAAAAATTCCTTCATTTCAGATGTTGATTTATGTCAGTAAAATGATTTGGATAATACTGATCGATAGTCTATTAAGTAGTGTGAATCAATCCGCGTACATTACTCAACAGTAATTTTGGATTGGTTAAGAATATTTACGAACGTTTGTACCTTTGTTAAATAATAATAATAATGTCTTCTGATATTAATGTGTCTTAGATAGTAGAAGCAACCATATTTGAGATTAATTCATGTTATTTAGTGTAATCTGTTAGTTATCATCGTAAGACTTAATTTGGTTATAAGACAGATTGATCATAATGTCAGATTGCACTGATTAACACTGAACGCCATACGTAAATGTATTGCGCTGCGCCCCGAAAATATGTGAATAAAACAGTAAAACAAAACAATTAAATATTTACAATAATCAGGTAACCAAATAATATAGTGTAAAATGCTTAGAAAATGCAACATACAGTAACTGGGTCTCTACTATTATGAATAATTTTAAGCTATAAAAACACAGAACTTCACATAAAATTTACTTATTCACATTGTAACATACAAATAAAGCATAAATCGATATCACGTCGAAAAAATATACGGGAGTGAATAAAGTATCACCATAGCCAACGATTCTAGTGCTCAAAACACTGTCCCAGGTCTACTGAAACCTCGCTCCAAACTACACATTGGAGCTTTCAACGTACGCACCCTATGTCAAATCGGTCAACAGGCTTCCTTGGCTAGAACCCTAGAATCTCGTACCATTGATGTGTGCTGTGTCTCCGAAACACGCATACAGGATCCCAGTGTGGTCATTCACTTGACCTCACCTCGGCAAAACGGAGAGCCAATGAGATACACCCTCCGTGTATCTGGTGACCCGATGGCCAGTTCTCGTGGACTGGCAGGTGTAGGCATAGCACTAAGCATGAAGGCCGAACAAGCACTGTTAGATTGGATCCCTATCAACAGTCGTCTATGTGCTGTCCGGCTAAACGGCTCCGTAAGAACTCGGAAGGATAGGGACACACGTCGTTGCCTTTTTGTCGTTTCTGCCTACGCTCCCACCGACTGCAGCTCAGATGAAGTGAAGGATGAATTTTACAAAAAGCTATCTGGACCTCTTCAGAAAGCTAAACGTTCAGACATAGTACTCGTAGCAGGTAACTTTAATGCCCAGATAGGTAGTTTAAACCAAACAGAAAGGCATTTAGGTGGTTATTTTAGTATACTGGCACAACGAACAGATAATGGTGATCGTCTGCTGCAACTATGCTCAGACAATCGTTTATTTTTAGCAAACACAAATTTTAAGCATAAGGAGAGACATCGTCTAACATGGCGACCCCCTACACCAAACCAACGATGGACTCAAATAGACCATATTGCCATCAGTCATCGTTGGAGAGGGTCGGTAGAAGATTGTCGCTCATTCTGGAGTACCTGCTTGGACTCCGACCATGCCCTAATACGGGCACGCATCTGCTTGCGTCTCACTGGACGCAAAAAAGCCACATTAGAACTGAGTTGAGTAACGAGAAAATCAAAAGTAAGTTCCAGGAACAACTGAGGTCACACTTAGGTAGTTTTGAAAACGAGGCTGACCCAGATGTTGCTTGGAAACATATACAAACGGCTGTGGAGACAGCAGTGACATCTAATAGTGATTTAAATCACAGGCTTACAAAGAACCAATGGATTTCTTCAAAGTCTATTGCACTGATGGATTCTCGTAAACTCATCCCATCAGATTTTGAACACGATGAAGAGCGCAAACAAATCAGATCTAGGTTAATCAAAGGTTTAAGGAACGACTGTGAGTAGTGGTGGGCAACGAAAGCAAAAGAGATGGAAAAGGCAGCGTCTATAGGGAATACAAGACAGATCTACAGACTAATAAAAGAAACTGGAACTAATAAGTCAAGTGTGAGATTATTTCGGAAAAAGACGATACTTTCATCTATTCCCAGACCAGACGTTTAGAACGATGGGCGGAACACTTTAGGGAACAGTTCAGCTGGCCTTCAGCGACTCTACAACTACCGTCCATTCCCAGAGAGTGTGAATGAAACATTGAAGTAGGTCCCCCAACTCTAGCAGAAGTTCAAAAGGCTATAGTTAATCTGAAACGAGGAAGAGCAGCTGGTCCAGATGGATTGGCTCCACAGGTCTTTAACGATGGTGGTTCAATTTTAGCGGTTAGGTTGACTAATATTTTAGCTAAGATCTGGGAGTTAGACGTTATTCCATCTGACTGGTCACCATCACTTATCGTCCCAATATATAAGAAAGGATCAAAATCATCTTGTGACAACCACAGAGGGATTAGTTTAACAAATATAGTATATAAAATACTAGCCTCAATAATAATCAGACGCCTAACTAAGACTCGTGAACTGCAAACACGAGAAAACCAAGCTGGCTTCAGACCTGGTCGTGGCTGCATCGACCACATTCACCATTCGTCAAGTTCTAGAACACAGGCATACTTATCGACGTCTGACAATGATGGTCTTTCTTGACTTAAAAGCAGCATTTGACTCGGTAGACCGCTAGATTCTGTGGCAGTGTCTGTCATTGAAAGGCGTAACTCAGAAGTACATAAACCTTGTAAAGGCTCTTTACTCGAACACTACTAGTCGAGTCAGAGCTTATGGCGAACTGTCATCTACTTTTGTAACCTCAAGTGGTGTCCGTCAAGGCTGTCCACTTTCTCCATTTCTGTTGAACTTCATCATAGACCTACTGATGGAAATAACATTCTCGTCGACTGAATTCTCAGGTATTGATCTCAATCAAGGAGGTCCACTTATCGACTTAGAATACGCAGATGATATAGTCCTGTTTGGTGAAGACGCTGATAAAATGCAGTCTTTTGGTAGCACTAAGCAACAATGCCAGAATGTTTGGAATGCGCTTCTCTCCCTCTAAATGCAAGTTGTTGCTTCAGGACTGGTCTGCGTCAACACCTGAACTAAGGATAGGGAGTGAAGTGGTCGAACGCGTCGACAACTTCACTTATCTTGGAAATCTGACCAGCCCTAATGGGATGATATCGGACGAAATCTCAGCACGGATTCGAAAAGCTCGTTTGGCTTTTGCGAAATTACGTCACCTGTGGCGAAGGCGAGATATCCGTCTATCAATAAACGGACGAGTATACTGCGCGGCAGTCCGTTCTGTCTTACTTTACGGCAGCGAAACATGGCCTTTAAGAGTAGAAGACACCCGTAAGCTACTAGTATTTGACCACAGATGCCTTAGAAATATTGCTGGCGTCTGTTGGGATCACCGGGTAAGTAATAGTGAGGTTAGACGAAGGGTATTAGGTAATGATGGTAAATCAGTTGATGAGGTTGAATCTTCATCGACTGAGATGTTTGGGCCACGTGTTACGTATCCCAGAACACCGATTACCACGACGTGCAATGCTAACCGGTGTTGGAGATGGTTGGAAGAAAGTTGTTGGCGGCCAAACCAAAAAGTGGCACCAGTGCTTGAAGTTGCTAACCTCTAATATGAGCCATGTTGGTAGATGCAGACTACTTGGTTGGGGTTCGCGTGACTATCGTAACCAGTGGTTGGAGACTCTGGGTGACATGGCTCAGAATCGATCACAATGGCGTCGGTGTATACACTCTCTGTCTTCGCTTCAACTAACAGATTAAAATCGCTTCATATCTTTCTTTCTACGAAATAATTCTTTCTTCCTTATGTGCAATCTTTCTCTTATATATTACCACCTTTAACCTAACCACTCCCATGAATCCGGTGTTCATCTTGCTGTGCTAACGAGGTATGGCAACCTGGACCGATGCATATATGTGCCTGGTCCTACGTTGTAGCTGACTGACTGGCCAAGGTTTGATTTGATAATTTCGAATAAATTGAGCATTGGGTAAATTGTTATAAATAAATAATATATTTGTAATATCCAAAATGAGTAGAAAATTAGATTTTCTGCTCAAAAAAAGAACAATCCAAAGTCATTCTGTAATTGGACGAAATCCAGTCTAATTATTCAACCAATCAGCATCCAGATTGTCATTAGTGTCCTTCAACGGCATTGGACGTTAGTTATAGTAATTTTCATTTACGGTGCTGATTCAAAGAAAAAATGCCTCTCCCTTCCGATCGATTACAACTGCTATTTGAACGACATTTGGAGTTATTAGTCAAATTCCGCACGCAGCTGCTGAATCACTCATGTTTTGGAGATGCAACGGAAGTGGATGGATTGATTTCTGAATTGCACATTGAGCTAGGGAAGTGACCGCAGCCTCCATGAATCCTCGATAAACCGTACTACAAGCGAAACGGTAGTCATCCATGATGCGCCCAGTGGTTCAGTACTCTCCATTCCAGAAGCATGCCCGGTAATGGATTCAAACTCCATTATCCCCGAAAAAGCATGTACAGACAGTAACGTATCCAGCTCACGAAAAGATCCCCTTGTTTTGCCAGAAAATGTGTCTCACGCATCAAGTAATAATCAAGAACCTGGTACAGTTTTGTTAGACGCTGATGATCATAGTGATCCACTATCTACTAGTGATGTTCCCCATAAATTTGGTCACAATATTTCAGAAGAGCCAAACTTCGATCTCCTCATATCAATTATCGTTCAGCCTCACCATCCAGTCTCTTTCAGTCGATTCTCTGTTCAGTACGACAAAAATATCTTAAATACAGTCAAATTAATTGCCAATTGGGTATGTGAGGACCCAACATTATTTCGCGGGGGAGGATGGGCGCGGAAAAACGTAAAGTCTGGATATCAACTCCGGATCTTCGAAAAAAGGGAGGTGTTGGGATATTCAGAAAAATATCCCAAAAATTATTCTGTTAAGCCTAACGCTATCCTTGGACTTGAAATGGTGTTATTTTCTTATTGGTCAATATTTACTTCACGTGTCGTTTTCCTACTGGTCAGTATTGTACAATGTTATTTTCTATTTTATGGCACGATGTGGTCTGCTTGATTGGTGTATAAACAGAGTATGTTTGAAATATAATAATTCATATGTACGAGGCTGAGACTTGTGTTCTGAACTTAACTGGTTGGGCTAGACAGGGGAGCGGGACCAATCAGAACCCTAGGCCGTTCTTACGTGTTTGCGCGTCTTTGGTCCGATCGATAATACGCTGCTCTCTAATCTGCAGTCACAGTTATAGCAAGATCGTAATTGACAAAAAAGTTATCTCACTTCAGATTAAAATAAGGTTTTGTGAAGCTTCATGAAATACTCAACCGCATATTAATATTTGTGTAAAACTATGCTGATATAAACCGCGCAAAATATTAGAACTCAACTGTTGGAGGTAAACAAAATCTACTGTATCACATGAACTGATATAGAAAAACTGTGAGTCTTAGTAAACACTTACGTTGCAGAATATAATTAATAACGACAACCAAGTTAGTTATGTCTGACTTTTGAGTTGACTATACATCAATGAACACTGCTAACTCTTTATAAATATAACCTACCTATTCACTTTACTCCATATTACTGTTCAGCATATATATATATATATATATATATATATATATATATATATATATATATATATAGTATACTTTTTTTTCTTGAACTACTAAGAATAACTTTATCTTTCATAGAAACGATTAGATGCCGCGAAGCTGCGCTTGCTTTTAAAATTGCGTTTAATGAAGCCTGGTTCAACGGCATTACGGTAAGTGCTTAAATAAGATATTTGTATGAAAAATAAATCTTACGAGAGGATTGAATTTTATTTACAAGCACGTCTACCCTTGCGCCAGACGTATTTTCTTTTTCAACACTTAAAACAATAACTATATACATATGTATAATGAACACCAACTTACTTTAATACGCTTACTAACACTTTCTCCATCGTTTGATATAGATACAGCCGGATTTGTTTTATCAGTAACAGTAGCAGCCGCCAATGCCATTACTTCATCACGAGAAAGCATTACCACACGTCTTCGTGTTTCGGGTGTAGAAGACTTAATTAGTAAAAAAAAGAAATAATGAAATTCTTCATATTTAATCTTAAAATCATAGGGCTGGTTATATGGTGTTCCAGTAATATTACAAAGTCGAAGAATAAATATCCTGTTATACAATGTTATAATGCAACAGTTATACAGTACTTAGAATATTCATCTTAGAAGTTAAATTTTGTTGTTAGAAAATATTAGATATAACTGAATATAGTAATGAACCTGGTGGACCCATTCTTGAGCTACAAATTTCTCTTTGAGTGCTGGTGATACTAACCGCCAGTCTAAACTGACATAAGTGAGGCTATGTTCGAAACTGTCAGAATACAACGGTGCTAAGACTAAGGATAGGTCCGTTGCGAAAATGCTTTCACACCAAACTTGCTTAATAGAATTTAGTTTAATCCTTCGAACTCATATAGATTCCAGAAAAAAAGTAATGAGATCCTTGTTAATATCAAAAACTGAAGCTTGGATTGTTTGTGGATTCGAACACTATTGTGTTGTGACGTGCGGTGTCCGAGTTTGGTTTTGATACATAATCTTCCTATGCAAGAGCCCAACTGAATAATTGGCAAAGCCGAATCGGCTATTATGTACTCATCCACACTTACACTGCTTCAGAAAGTCAAACCATCTTCTGTTGTACTGCCAGTTGTTTGTGACAGAAATAAACACTTGAGACCTTAGTTCATTTAATGAGTCAATGTTAATCTATTAAGATCTATCCCATACATATTAAATACTAAAATAACTATTTCCTAAATGTAAGACTTTGCTAACCTACATATATATTTAAAACTCACCAGATTTGAAGAAAGTTTGAATATTTTTAAACCTATCTTTCCATTTCGATTAGAAGTGTTTGTGAAAAGAGAAAAACCAGATCGATGTATAAGTAAAATGGTGTATTTACTAAACTTTCAAACATTGGATCTAAATTCCACAACCACCATAAAAATTAATTTTATCAGGGAATTCGGAAAGTCTCACTGACTTTGAAATAACGGAAACATCATAACACAGTACATGTGCTTCTAAACAGTCATCTAATAATATATGTAACGAGTTACCACATTCTGTTATAACATGAAATCTAAAATCTAAACCACAATTTCTTTACAAAATAACATCTTGATTCCAGGTTAAATAATTATAGATATAACTCCAAAGCTGTGATGGGTTCGAGGTATTTATGAATAGTTAATGAGTTTAGATTATCAAAATGAGGGGATGGAATATTGATAGATAGATGAACTTAGTGATGCAACATGGTGAAGTGATAAATACTCAGATATCTGAATAAACGAATACCAAGAACAAGGTCAGTACCCCGAATAATAAATATTTTCTGACAAAACAACAACCCTATATATCAAGGACCTACTTATTGTACAAACAAGCATGTCTCTCACCAGCAAAAACAGCCTTCACTAAGCTTTGTAGGAGCAACCTTGAATACCACTATTTAATGACAACTGATAAATCGAAAAGAAACCGACAAATTTTTACAGGAATGTTAGGTTTATCATTATTCAGTCTTAAGCTTTATTAATAATAAAAAATGAACTTACAGCGTTTTTAACTGGTAAGCAATAATTCTGAGCATGGGGATCCACACCATTTGTTACAACTCCCTGAGTTTTATACAAAATAAGTAGAATTATTTTACCTCATCATTCATCAAATTATACAAAAAAGAGCACACAAAATGTTTAAGCTTTGAGTAGCAATTTTCACTGAGTTCAATATTCATTTCTTGTACAAATACAGACGTCAATTCATTTAGCGTGCATAAACTACAGATAAAGCATATAATTGTTAAGAAATTAAACTTACGACAACAGTCGGGGATCTTCATTGAGTACAGTTAACAAGAATAATCTCATATGATCACGAATACGTGAACTCATGTTTCGAAATCTCCCGGAAGTTTGCTAGATTTAGGGTAATAAGGAACTCCTAGTAATCTAAGTAGATTTCAATGATGCATCTAAAACTACAGAATAGTTTGATCAAAATTAAACAACATAATTCAATTGATTTCTATTTTAAAATAATTTAGTGTTATGCTTAACACTAACTGAATTCTACTTATATAACCAATGCCGAGAAGGTCTTACTCACTGCCTTCTCGCGTGGGGGTGGAGTTTACGAAATTGAGAGGATGAAAAGCGGAGGTTTGACTCTTAAACTGAGTTGATGAGTTCGGAGGACTTACCTATGAGAGTTGGTAAATTCTGGTTACAAACCAATAGTCACATAAGCACCAGGATCCTGAGGGAACAAATGGCGTATTAACCAATTGTTAGTCACCGACTACCATGAGACTTCAACTTCTGACGTCTCTTCAATGCCTTTTGGATTAGACCCCTAGGTCAAAGACACGTATCCCTGTTCAGACACCCGCACACATACAAATTCAGTGATTTATGTGGAGTATTTATATTTTGGCTCCCCTTTGTACAAATGTTTGCGTCCAGAAAATAAATAAATTATACGTCAATGAATAGTCTTAAAGTTACTATCAATGCATATTCAACTGTAGGATTACAGTCGAAATCTCTGAATCCAAGCTCAGAACCCCGAATTTCGGTTACGTGATATTCATATGAGTCGACGGCGCACATGCCAAATCAGCCGCCACAAGCCATGCACCAATATCATTGGAACCACTGGATTTTCCTGTTATAACACACTTATTCGGATCTTTGCGAATCATATTGTGCTACAAGTGCTCTGTTTAAAGAGGAGACGGTTGCAAAATGAAGTATCTTGAATTTCTTGTCAATGATGAGTTTGGAACCAAAAAGTTACGAGAACACAATTCACTATAAAACTGAAGGAAGCGAAGGAAAAGTACCGACTCGTCAGTATTGCCTCAGAAAGATCCTATATTATTTCGTGTAGGAGGTGATACGACACCTAGTTGTTATGTCTTAATTGATTGGAAAAAAGTGACTTACAAGTTCACTTTTTTCCGGTCACCTATGATATTCAATCACGTTTATTTTGTGCCCGTACTTTTTATATAAGCATATCATTTATTGAGTGAAAAACTGTTCATCTGGTTAGTAATTGTTTAGGGGCCTAACTCAGCCATACGGTTTCGTGAGTAGCCATCACTCGGTCACATTATATCAGTGAGTCTACCTATCGATTAGCACTCTATCCATTGATTTCGACATTCGAAATTTCGTCCAATTTAATAACAGAAAATCTCCATAACAATAACAACATCCTAAAGGGCAAACTAATGAAACCTGTGATTACATATAAAGGTTACCAGCCATTGATAACGTCATAGCGGAAGGATTGTCATCCTGTGGCAACAAAATCTTTTCAATATTACATTATCACTATACCTAAACTCTCCTAAATTTAGTTATTTTCTTATTCTATTTGAGTTCTCGCGAAAAATGATTGTTTTTCGAGATCCTCTCCATAGAAAACAAAACTACATATTTCATACTACCATTGGTAATCTCAGGAAACAAATGAAATTTCGTCATATCCAATAGTTAATATCTGAGTAACAGCTAGTGACTTGATGCTCAAGTTAGCCTACATAAATCTGAAAAACAGAAACCTTTATGATTACAGACAAATCGAATTTTTTTTAACAAATATGAAAACTGCTTGAAATGGGGAAAATAAGTCGTATTCTACACAACTCTTCCGTGGAAAACAGACATGTTTAGTGCAATGTTAACTTTATGCATAAATAAATATGCATTCATTTTACTTCTTCACCACGTAGTTATGGAGAATTTTCACTATATTAAAGCTTGCGCCAAAATGAATTTGGGTAATCCTAAAACACAACAAAAATACCAACTACTCTACGTACAACAGTCGAATATCTCGTCTTATTGTCCATAATGTTAATAGGTCCTCTTCTGAAAACCGTATAAAAGCAATCTTTACTGTTTGAGGTCACTGATAATGATAAGCTCATGTATATACACGACGTCCGAACTCATTATGTGTTAAAAGATGTCTTTTCATCGCACAAAAACTAAAATTTATTCTATTTATTTAAGCACATAAACACTGGTACAGAGGGAGCCAAAATATAAATACGCCACGTAAATCATTGAATTTGTATATGCTGGGTTACTGTCCGCTTTTCATCCTGTCAATTTCGTAAACAACATCCCAACCAAAACATAACATGGATGCACCACGGATGTTGACGTATAGTCTAAAGTAGTCAGCAATAATTATCTTGAAGAATTGGTAAAATGGAGGTGATTCTTTCAATAAACGATGTAAGTAATGATTACACGAGAAGTGAAGATGAAGAAACTTAGTGATTATTAAAAAATTCTAGGCATTTAATAGTGATAATTCCTGACTGCAACACGTGGAAAACACATACATTATTAAAGTAAATGTACGAAATAAATTGATTGAACAGTGTGAAGACAAGTCCCAAAAAGCAATATTAGTCTGCAAGAAACCCCATTCTAAAATGTGCTGAGTTCTGATCTCTGATGAGTTGGTATGTTAAAGTTCACTGAAAGAGACAATGAGTTTAGAGTTCGACCCAACTTTTCGACATTTGGAAATCAAACTTACTAGGAATAACGTGTGCCCAATGAAAACACTCTGTTGGGGTCATTAGTTGGTTTCATAGACAGATTTTCCTCATACTTCGTCATGATGAAATTAATTATAGCTTCATCGGTAGTAAACAGATCTTTCTCACATACGATTCTCTGTTAGAGATACTACATATTAACTGAATCACGGTTACAAACAAGCCATATGATTTCATTTCGATGGTAGCTATAAGTGTCCCCTAAATTATGACATTATTTGCTTCATATAGACTACATCATTACCGGTGTCAATCTCCCCCATGACCAAATCTCTCGAGCTGGTCTCCTTGATATATATCAAGATCTTTTACCAGTACCATGTTAGTATCCCTGGTTCTCGTTATCGAATACTGTCACTGAACATTTTAAAAACATTGATAAACTTCAGTCGTAGTTTCTCTTAGGAATCGAACTGTTAAGTCAAATATTTGAAAAACCTACGACACTTACCAGCGAAAGGAACAAGATGCATCGCAACTGTTTTTTCACACCAATCCGGAAGACACTTAACTCGTTTCAAGAATTTTATCTATAAGAGAAGTAGAAAGAGTAAATATTTCCGAAGACATAGACGTCTGACCCCAATAGAGTAGACCTGATGATTAACGTATTAACTTTCCTGATAGTGAAAATATATTTCAAGGCTACGAATTTTAGCTGAAATAATCTCAACTTGCAAGAAAATATTCGGGAAAAAAGCAGAAAACTAACCGATTAGTAGAAATGACTTGTGAAAAGTTCTTGCAGTTTTGTTCCGGTTATTTTGATACTGAACTGTTTTAGTTTCTCGGGGTTTATAGAAAATAAACTTATGAAATCGGCATTCACATGATCTTCTTGAAATTGATGCTTTTATTGAGCTCAAAAAACTGTTAGAGAGTTGTTTCCATGTTTTAAATGAAGTGACGTGAAGCTATGGAAGTGGGACAAAAGCTCTAGCCATAAAGCTGACCAAAACAAGCCCTCAGGTTAGTTGGCTACATTTTAATTCAATACAGGCTATTTCTGCTGTTAGCATAAGGTTTAAGATAGTGAAAAACTGAAAAACGGGAACGGACCTCTACTGCTGATACGATTACCCCTGTGTTGTTAAAACGGCACTTATGGCATCAATTTGTTGATTTGCAGTAGTTAACATATTTGCGATTCAGAAGTAATGTCTCTTGATTCCACGTTTTTAGGTCCAAGAAAATTCAATCACATGAGCCACTATAGGGGCGGGTTTTTCTTTAAATGATTAGGTGAGTTAAATTTGAGCTATTGAACATTTGTTGGATTGTGACGATTCGCAGTTTCTCAATCCAACATTTAAGTTGATTTCTGATGTTCCTAATATGCTTGTATGAAAATTATCGACAACTATGGATACGAGCAAAAATAAGAACCCTTGAAAGCACTGTCCAGCTAGAACTCTTATCAGTGTCGTTGACAAGTGATTCATTTGGATTCGACCAGAGACTCGTGGGTGCATAAAAATAGAATGGTCATTTTTGTTTCATAACGGAATAATCGATAAAGTACTTGGTAAAAACTTTTCTGTGGTGAATAAAGTCTAATGGTGCAACTTGATGTTCTTTTTGAAGTCGATAAATGTTCTAGTCAGTGACAAGACGTCATCGGAGTAATGCGATTTCAAAAATACGTTTGTTTAGAACTGGCTAGCTGACATTACTTATGATCTCATTTTATCTCGATAAGCTCAAGTTATAAGTCTTCATAATATTTTGGGTATCTGCCTGGATTGCAGGCAGGTGTAAGAGGGATTTAAGTGTTCCTTCACATACCCTAGTTCATCCAGAATCAAGACACTGACAGTGGCTCTACAGGTTGGTTGCGAAGTAAGGAATTTTGTCACCGAAATTCACCCTCAGTACTATTCAAAAATAATCAATGTACCGACCTAGATTCTACAACTAACCATCAAGGATAAAAGCGGATACGTTCCGATTCTCCTACTTATTTGTTAAATATTTTGAAGCATAGAGAAGACTAACTTAACACGACTAAGAACTATTGAGCTAAATTACTACGCCCACGTTGTTACTTTAATCTAAAACCGTAAAGCACAATCAATAAGTAGTAAAAAAACATTCTCTTGGTCTAATACTCACTTTAGGAAGGACAGTGCTCAATAGTTCTCCCACTTCGTTGCTGACTCTAGTGATTTGTAGTAAGGTCAGAATATACCGTTGAGGCTATTCAGTAATGTTCAAAATATTCCCAGTACTTGGGATAGATCATCAAACATTGAGATGCTCATCACTTTAAGGAACGCAATGACCAACATGGACAATGTGTAAATACAATTTGGGGATCAGCAAGTATGAAAACTCATCAGTGCTGTTTGTATTCTTTTTTCCTAATTTCTAAACAAGTCCGCTATTTTGGAAGTTCTTTGGATTTTTACACTGCATTTAGAAACTAAGACAGCCTGGTCAGGTAGGCTAGAGAATCCTTACATTGTGTGGCATCAGAGTGTGTATAAGTAAGGCAGCGGTGAAACTATAATTCATAGATGACCCTTGAGCGCCGCTAAACTGACCTTGAGGGTGTCCACTTAACAACTAGGGCAAAATCAGGGTTATGAACCTGTTTGAGGAATCGCAATTACAATTTACAGTTAATGATGAAGGTTATGAATTAGATTTCGGGTTTTCATCACGAATTAACATTGTATATAATGCCATAACTATATTTACCCAAATGGATGAATGAATTTCGGCCAATATCCGGGACCTGTTATCTTATATGTGATTAGTTCGTCCACAAATTATAGTCTCGCCGCAGCTACTTAGTTCCCCGTAACTCTAGTTGGTGGTGATCAGTCAATGGGTGGCAATTATACAATGATTACGGAAGTCACAAGTCTACATAAGTACACTTTTAAACAGCTGAAGTAATGTTAACTTTTGTTCCCAAGTTCAGGAAGATCCATTTACAAATCGATTTGTAAATAGCCTAACATACTTGATAGTGCTAATATTCTTAAATTTACCTAGTATGCGTATCACACAGGCTTATCACCATACTTGGTTCTTTGAAAGAGTACAGATTTTGTGGTGGTAATGTCACAATCTATATTAGGTGCAGTTATCACATTATTCATTGGGTTCAAATCCAATGAACTAGTGTAAACTATCTGAAAAAGCTAAACACAATTGTTATAGAAAAATCGAGTCTAACTACAAGAAAATGTTTTTTTTACATTCAGGTAAACAATTCATCTACCAGCTTACACGAGAATCATGAACAACGATAACCCTGACCTCCAACCCAAACTTTCCGCGACGTTGTGAGCTAAACAATAACATCTGTACATATTGAACGAGTCCTCAGATGTGAGCAGTTGGATTTCATCATAGAGCACTTTGATCAAATATTCTGTTCGAATGGTTCATGTGGGTGTGAACGGATAAAAGGTTGTTCAAAGAGCTTGTTTGTTCAGTCTTCACTAATAAGGATAGGAGGTCTATCGACCTATATTAATCATTGCAGTTTGTAACACTGCGAAAATCTAAACTCGTTTTGAAGGTTGTGATTTTTTTACGTGGTATCATTTTATTTTCCTTTTAGTTTTTCTCTTTGGTTTAACATTTATTAGCGATAAATAATTCATCACTGATAAAGCTCTATCAACTTGACACTTCATTTTGGGACTCAATGTCACACATTAATTTTGCCAGTTTTCACACTGTCTACCTCCTTTCACTCATTAGCGTTAATATGTTTGCTTTTGACTAACATTGGTTCTGATCCTACCATAGAACTTTACATATCTAATAAGTTAATTGATAACTGACGCCGTTGATTTAACTAAACCTTATATTTACATTACTTCCGATAATGTCCAGGCCATCTAAGAAACATATAATCTCTCCTGATTCCTATAGCACTTGCAAAAGATCTAAATCAGCCACTAAAGTGAGTAGTGTTAAGCTCTATAAACATACTGATCAGTCTGCATCCTATTCTAATCTTCCTTCAGCTACACTAAACGCGCACCGTTTACTTGGGTATGACATACCTCGCATCTCGCTTGTAGATATAAGTAAGAGCAGTCACATACCGTTAGTTGACATCATTTGCCAGTCCAAACGAAAGCACCACATGTTGTGAGCAGTAACTATGCAGTGCAACTGACCCCAAAAACCGAACAATTTTACGATCCGCCATCTTGAGTAGCGGCCTACGGAGTACATGTAAGCCTGCCTACAATAACCCGCCGGTGATGTAGATCTTTACTACTCACCCAGATATATATTCCATCCCCCAACTAAGTATGCACAACGTGACCACTCGGTAGACACTTGCAACAGGTCTGTATGTAACCATATCGACCTTAAAAACTTTGATATAAATTCCAATAATCTCACCACTGGTAGATCTAAAAGCAGCTAAACAAAACTTAGCCTCACCCAAACTATCCAAGAATTATTACCGTACAAATATTTAATCAATGTTCCACAAAATCCCGGATTCGACATTATAAAAAACACTAAAACGTAATTGACCATATATCATCTGAAGTGTTAAAAAGACTTCAGTGTATGCACAATGTCATTGTGTATAATATACCTGATAGTGCGAACGTAAAGATTGCTAAAAATACTCTACTACAAGAATGTGAATTGTCACAATCTTGGTGTGTAACAAGAAGATTACGCAAAGCACACACTAAAGCCTCATGTCCAACTCTATTTCAGTTTGGTAATACCACTGACGCTAATCACCTCCTCAATAGTCATTCATTACTGAGGTGTATTCCAACATATAAAAAGATTAGAATCATCCATGACAGGACTGCTATCAAGCGTCAAATCTTGAATGGAATACAAACTAATCCACCAAGCCTACGTAGCTGCGGCAGTTACAGCGTTTGTCATTTCACAAATCCCAAAACACCATACGCTACCCCTCCCAAAAACGGAGGCACGTCGGATGCTGCTATTAGTCCTAAGTATAAGACTGCACATAAAGCAGCTGAAACCACTCATCCTCGACCCAAACACTCGGCTACCCCAAAATGCCAATCCACTTAAGCTTTCAATTGTGCCCCAGTACTGCCCTAGCGGCTCCTATAAAAAGCCTAAAAATAATCCTACTAGGAATTGCCCTAATAACTACAAACGCTCAGACACCACTGTACGAAATAATACTAAACTCTCTGTAAAAACCCACCAGTACTCCTGCACCCCCAACCCAAAACACGCACCTTTTCATAGCAGTAGAATTCCCTATAACGAACATAGTGAACAGGCAGTACCCACTCATCCTAACGTGAAACGACACTCGAAAGGAACCACACCTACACATGATACCCGTAAGTCATATAATGGGAACCTTGCAAGCTCCATGAACCAGCACACAACTACACACAACAGAATCACCTCTCTTGGCAACAATATCAGATAATCCTTTATTCCTTTCCAGAAATATACAACCTCCCTAACTATCCATAATAGGACTAAAATTGCCCACCGCACACAAGTAAGCCATCACGTTGGTCTACTTGAGAACCCACCTACTGAC